GATATCTTTCAATGATGCTTTGGCACGGCGTGCAAATAATATATGCCTTTTTACGGATGAATCTTGCCCTTAAACGGATGAGCGCTGCCCTAGCACCCACAATTGGGAGGCTAAGTTCAACATCCATCCGTTTAGGGGCAAGATTCGTCCTCTCACGGCCAGGGGTTAATCTTTCCCATGGGGCACTTGCTGCCCCTTCTGTAATTCCACCCTTCCCTTCTCAGCTCTCTCGCTCACAGTACCCGGCCCTAATAGACTCAGCTGGACGTATGCAGACCTGATATACTACGTGAAGCAATTGGCGTTTGACCACAACTTGTGTCCCACTGTTAATGTGGGTCCCACATTGTGGGACATGGGCTCACACTCCGGATTACATCCCAAAGGGGGGTGGAGTGCCACCTTCGAGGGAGTTTCGGGAGTTTGACATTTGGGCAGCGGGCAGGGTCGAAGTGACGGAATGCGCGCATGTGACGGCATGCCTGCTTAGGGGACGCTGTGTAGTTGCTGCGGCAACATGGCGGGGCCGTTCATTCGGCAGGGTAAGCGCTGTGGCGTGCACATCTTCGAAGTGGCGAGGCTGCCTGGCGGCATTCCAGGAGGTGCCTCGAGGGCCAATGCAAGGGGTTTGTTTGGCGCCTGTCATTTCCGAACAATCTCATGAAGGGTGCGAGGGCTCAAAAAAAGCTGGAAACTGAGCACCTAATTCCAAGAATGCCCTTCATGGCCTCCTGTCCAGAAATGGCTGGCATCAGACATTTGTGCAATGCAGGAGGGTGCTCTGAGGCGATTCCCCGGCGGAGTGACGAGAAGGGGACTCTTTGTGCGTGGCGCGTGCCGTGAAGGGACTTTGAATTCTGGGGACGGGTGTCGTGGCCACGACAGCCCATGGGCTGGGTCCAACAAAATGATGAAGAGCGTGCTGACGGCGGTGGACCACTTTGTGACGTTGCCCAAGCACCACAAGGCTCGGAAGCTCACCAGGAAAATTGATGGTGAGCATGCGACTGGACTGCGAGTTGCCGACTTGCCTTGAGAGATCGCCTGTGTTATGAAATGGCTCATTTGTTCAGGCTGCTCTCCAACGTTGAATTGTTGAATTGTGACTCAGTGACTCAGGAATTATGGGGACAATTGAACTTGGGGGTTCGTCAAGAATGGGAATAGCAGCATCAAAGCACACGAAATTGCAGCTGCTTGTTGTGTCATCACAATGTCGACGTCAACCTTTGAGCCTGCTGCCAAGGAGGTGCAACGCAAAATCAGAAAACGCTAACCAGCTTTGGACAAAATGTCGGCATTGTATTGAGCTGTGCACTGCAGCAAGGCTGAGAACCAAGAAAGCAGCGAGAGTTGCCTGCAACAGACAAAACACAGTGAAGCTCCCTGCGCAATGCGAATGGGCCAGATACACTGCCAACCAGTTCATCAGTAGGCTTTTGCCCTGTTGTGGTGTGTATTTCCTATCAACATTGCTTTGCCAATGCCTGTTGCAGGGAACTGTGCCAAGCAGGGCACCGGTCGCGGTGGTAGACGGTGCGCGCCCCACTGAACTGCATGTTGCGGGCGGGCCGGGGCCTCGAAATGACGCCGGTCACGTGGTGGTGGTGGGTGGGGGTAGGTGGGGGTGGGGGTGGGGTGGGGGTGGGGGTGGGGTGGGGTGGGGGTGGGGTGGGGGTGGGGGTGGGGGTGGGGGTGGGGTGGGGGTGGGGGTGGGGGTGGGGGTGGGGGTGGGGGTGGGGGTGGAGGGTACACGGCGGCTTTAACGAAACGCTTGCTGAAGGGCCGCTGTATTTCAGGCCAATGACGAGGCAGTTGAATGCGGCATCGGTGACATTGTGAAGATCACATCATGCAGGTAACAACAGTCACCAGTTAAACTGAGCTTCCTGTCAGTGCCATCTGCAGCGCTGATCCACACACACATTTTCGTGGTACAATGCAGTTGGCTGAGAGGGGACACGATGAACAAGTGAAAAAGGAAAATCACAGAACAGGGCAGCGCCATTTCCGGTTTGGATGCCTCTTATGCCCTTGCAAGAAGAGTGGCTGAAGGCGCACTAGCACATGCCATACAACGAGCAACGCGATGCTGAACAGAACCGCTGAGACTCCTGTCCACTCAACAACAAACGGTGGAAGTTCCTGAGTGTGGCAAGTGCACAACAATGACGCAAGCGCGGTTCCAGACGTAATGCTATCAACAAGGATTGCCATCAGCATCAGAGTTCATACACTCAGACCTACTCCCATTCTCCGAGCCCCTTGCACAAAGATCTTCTTGCCAATTTGTGCACCTACCATTGGCATCGTATTGCCAAGGCCGCCCAGCTACCGAATCTCTGCTGAATCCCTTCCGATTTGATTTTTGGAGCAGGCCACTCAGCAAGAACAAGGCTTTCAGAGTCGCTGAGATCCTTCAAAAAGAGAAGCCCTACAATATGGACAAACCCGCCCCTTATGGCACGGACACTGCCGCTTCCTTGCCAAGGCCGTCATCATGAAGGGCGCGGCACAGTTTCCGCATGAGGACCAAACACAGCAGCACTGCCGTCCCCAGTCTATTCAGTTGGCGAGCGAAGCCTCATGTTCACCCTTGAAGCGGCTGCCATCGTGAAGATTCGGGCTCCCTTGCACGCCGCGTGCCACTGTGCACAAAGGGCCGCGCGGCGTGATGACACACAGCGTGAAATTGCCCACGGATTTCCCTTCGAGAGCAAGGGGTGGTAAGAGACTTGGTGGTTGTGCCCCCAGGAGTTTGAGTAGGGTCCAAATTGTGGCGCTTCGATGCCCAGTGGCTGCAGAAGTATGCCGAGTGCGAATGTGTGCGTCGTTCGCTGCAATGGGGACGTACGTGCAATGCAATGCAGCCTGGGCAGCCGCCAATTCACTGCGGCTCCGCGCCGTAATGGCGTGGTTGATGTTGCAACAGAAATATATGCTCCAGGTGGAGCATGGCAAATGCATGGATACAGCCGAATGCCATGTTCATTTAAGCACGTGCGATTCCACCGCACGTGCACATCGGATTTGTCGATTCCAGCAGCCGCCAAGGTCCGAGGCAGCAGCGACCACGAGGACGTGAAGATGCTAGTGCGAAAACTTGCAGAATTTTGGGAAGCTGGCAATTCTCCCATTTGCAATCTCGACGAGCATTGCGCAATCATAATCGAAGCGCTCCTTCACCTGAATCCCGTCCTGTGTGCACCTCGTTACTTGCCCATCCAACTCTCTTCCAATGTTGAAAGTAGTCCCTCGTTGGAGTATGCACTTTTGGCGCCCTGTGGTGCTGTGCCAAATGAAGACGATGCGTTGGCGGGGTTGCTGCCCTCTCCCACTCTCAAATTTCACAGCACGCGTGCATGAAAGCACTCCAACAAAAGAAACTCTTGGTGGAGGTGACCTCAACCCCTTTGGCCAGCAAATCAGAAAGGAGCTCTCTCACAAGTCAGCAATGATCCGGGGGCGCTAATGCAGTACTTGGGTACCGCACACGCCGAGCTCAATGCCAATGTCCGATTGCCAGACACGAAGCACGATGCAGGAGGCATGTGGAAAACGTAGCAGCCGATGGCCTGGCGACTGCAGCCAGTGATGGAGTGGGAGCTGCAGGCGCTCAAGCTCCAAGGATAACCCATTGTGCCCAAGCTATCAAGCTGCGTGTGACCAAGTACTACAACGCACGGGCTACTCATGATTGGCAACGTACAACAGCATTGCATTGCACCTTGGCTGTGAATTGAACGTTCACACCTTCCCTTGATTGGGCGAAGCCCTTTTCCCATGAAGAGGTCGCCTTTTTGTGTCAATTTTTGGCCGATGCATTTCCATGTCGCTTTTTTCTTTTTCGCTGCAAGCTCTTTGGTTCACCAGCTTGTCGTACGTGTGGGTTTTGGTGGGAGGACCGAGCGCATGTTTTCTTGGGTTGTCTAGCTTTTTCAAACGCCCATTTCGCATGCCATGAATCTGCGAGGCGTTTGGTAGATGCAGTAGTTCAGTGGGATATTTCTGAGTTTGTGCCACAGGGCCTTGGTATGCTGGTGCGCTTGCTATCACGTGTGCGATGTGCGTGGGCTGGAGTGGGACATGGGGATTGAGGGTTGGGATTGATTTTCTTCACTACATACACTGAACATAGTCCATGGGGACTCTGTTATTCATGCCAGCTCACTGCATATCATGGGACAATAGGGTGTGGCGACATGGGATCAAGAATAATCGGTTCTGAACAAACTATTTGCGTGGTTTTCAGGCCCATCATCGCCTACCAGGTGCAAGGGGTGCGTTTTGTCATTTGTGCTGTGACAAATGTAATCCACGGATTTTGAGGAGGTATGCATATGTGCGCAGCATGGAAATGACGGTGCAATGATCGAGCGCCGCAAGTTTCATGTCATCCCGGCACGCTCGACCTCAAGCGTTAATCCCAGGCTCCAGCTTCTTCCTGCAGTGGCCTGGTGCCGTTGCAAATGCGCCTGGCCGTCGTGTGTGACCAACAGAGTATATCCCACATGCAGGGTGGACACCCACACTGTACCGGCCAATTTACAAATGCGCAAACAGGCGGCCGGGAGCGTCAACGAAATGGATGGTGGTGATAGTCCAGACCCAGCAGAAGGGAGCGCCGAGCGTGTATCCTGTCGCTCCCCACAGAATATCTCAAAGGTGACAGTACAGATGCTACCCAGGAGCATTTCTCCGATCTTCCAACTCCGTCCTCGAGCACAGAATCCTCAACCAGCAGCGAAACCCCAACGTTTCCTCTCTCATGGTGCAGGCCCGCCAGCAGGGGCCTCCTTTGCCAGCAAGACGAGTGTGTCAAGCCAATCAGTGTGGACAAAGCGATGGACATGATTCGGTAGTTGGGACAATGGACACTCGACACCGCCAGCCAGGTGCACTTCCTCCAGCAAATGCCCCATAATTTGCCACCAACAGACGCGACTCCCTTTCAAGGACTTCTAAGGCCCAGATTGCGATCAGCCCGCCAAGCCATCGCATCAGTCGGCACCGCCCAGCTTCTCTGCCAGTTCATGATGCCCCCCAGCACTCGCATACTGTGCCGCCGTTCTTCCGTCCTGACACAACAAAAACCCGCAAAGCAATTGTGAGGGCTGCCCAGCGTGGTGGACACACTGATGATGAAATGGGAAGCCACGTTATTCGCTTTTGGGTCGAGGGATGCGCATTGTGGTCAGGTCTGAAGGCCATCTGGTGGCTACATCACAAAAGACAGAACTGGGGGAGGGGCTTTGCCCACGGCGTCTGCAACAGGACTGAATGTATACAACGACTTTGTGGTATCGAGTGCCTGGATCCAATCGACTACGTGCATAGTCATTGAATTCAGAAGCCCAGCAACCAGGAGTCAACGTGGCTAGCATGCCCTCTTCCATGGTACTGAGCGCCTGGATCCAATCGACTACGTGAGCACTCATTGAATGCAGATGCCCAGCAACCAGGAGTCAAACTCATCTAGCGCGCCCTCTTCGACTGCACAGGCAAGTTTGCAATTCCACGGGATTCGAATCTTCTGCTGCACACTTTCAAGAACAGCAAAGCAGGGTGCCACTACATGTTAACAGCATCTGCATGTTCTTAATGTGAATGCATGTTAATCAACTCACTGGGTTCATGCTACATTCAAGCCGTCGCGCATGCAATGTTACCTCATCAGTCGGCGTCACAGACACTCCTTTGCTCAGCAGCAGTTCTGCAGCAGCTGTGTGGCCGTCCCTTGCAGCCGCCATCAGCGGAGTCATGCCATTCTGCACATCCATGCACAATGTAATTGGGCATTCTAAAGCCCCCTTTTCAAGCCACGATACATTTGGATGCAAAGGCACTACAGCAAAGGACAGATAATGCAAATTGGGCCCATTGCCCTGTCGCGCATCCGTCTGCGAACGTCATGCATGCTGGAGAATTTTGGTGGTGTGGGACACCACCAGTATGCTTTTCAACTGTATGACCTCACCTCCTTTGTTTACTTTGACTTTTTGAGGTACCAAAGCATGCACTGTATGTCAAGAGCATTCTACTGCAAGCTCTGTTGGCTCAGGTGGCAGTCTTACTTGGACTATGGGCACTGTTCACCGAAACTCGGCAGCCTTTGAGAAAGAAGGGCACGTACCCTTTTGTGTCTATTCAAAACAAGCTCGTCCCAGGTACCGAAAGAATGCCCACATGTGTACCCAAAGCCCTCAGAAAACGTGCTGTGCACTGAGGTGCTTATCAAACTAGAACCTCTGTCATTTTGCAAGTCTGTAGCCTTATGTGGGGCATACCCTTAGAGCTGTGCAAAACGTTGTTCAAAACGTTGCTTTATTCTGTCCCTTGTTCATTGCCACGTTTGGTGAGACCACAAGAACAGAGGCCTGCAGCCTTGTTGAGCAATGCAAAATATGCCGTCGCTAATCACATCTGATGGTACGACCAAACTCCAGCACTGGATAGGATCCATCAACGACAATCAGAAACGGTTTGGAACGCACTCCTTGGGGTGTTCCTGCAAGGACTGCTGGTCCTTCCTCCAGCTGCCGGGATTTAGAACACTACACTTCAGTTCCACTTCACCATGAGCATCAACGCTGACGTCAGGAATGCAGGGGGTGCCATCTTGCATGCCCCTGCACCATCTTCCATGCCCCCCACACTCTGCATCAAGCCCCCGACTCAGTGGCGGGGCCCCGCATTGTCACACTGGCTGGCTTGCAGGCAACAACGCTTCCCAGCGCCCAAGCAATTTTACGCATTACTTAACGTGCCATTTATGGCAGCAACTCAAACCATTGACAAAAAGTTGTGACAGGGTGCCACAGCTTGCTGCATTATGCCGCACACCCTGTGTGGCAAGATTGACCACAAAGTGGACCATCGCCTGGCCAACGTACCACATTACATAACAATACATAAGTAGCCAATCACAATGCCATCCAAAAGCAACGAATAGCAATTAATGCGACGTTGCGTTGCACTGTGCTGTGCCGACCCCCGTATCCATGGTATGGATCTATGTGGTAGTGTAGCAGAATGTGCATAAGTACCATACTCTATAAAAGTATGAAGCTGGGCACTGAGAATCTTGGGGACATGGCATCTGATTGAAGGAAAAATGTAATGGCACTGTTCAGTTAGAGTGAACTTGATAATATTTGGGTGATAGCACACGCGGCGAGATGCAAGAATGTGTGAGAATGCAACGTTCTATGTTATATGATGTTGAAGCAGCTAGTGCATACCGCACCACCTCTCCCCCCCCCACCCCCTCCCACCCCTCTACCCCGCTCTGTGTCTTGTGTACACCCCATGCTCTGCGACACCTGCCATTTTTCACAATGCTGAGGGCGTTATCTAAAGGCCCCTGCACTATTCACGACCCACTACGCCGTCCTCCCTGATCTATGGTACATGCCATGAAACAGCATGTAGAGCGAGTCTCATGTTGCTTGCTTGCATCCTGTTGTGAGGCTACAACTTTCGACCTCGGTTGACTCTGCATTCCCACTTTGCAACATGACACCAAGCACTGAGCAACTATGTTACCTCGTTTGGCACTTCCAAAGCTGCACCGTAGTCTGACATAATCTGCACAATTTTCGCAGCTGTCTGTTCATCAGTCTTCTGGTGCCACATCTTTTGCCAAATCAGCAAAAGAGGGGTTGCTCCTGTCTGTGAACATGCAAACAGGAACATGCAAACCATATGAACACACAAACATTTTGTGACTCCAGCTCTCCACCATTTATGTGAGGTTTCAAGAACGACTCAACAGTGGACAGCCACCAGCTCTGTCAGTCTCACAAGTGCATGAGTTATCAAGGTCTCAAAAGATTTTACGGTTTCTAATGCGTGGGGATGACATCAATTTCATCACAACATCTGTGTTGTTGATATCAATGGATCTTATGTCGAGAATGGACGAGGGCTGCTTTTCCAAATAGCAGAATGGATAATATTGCAGCGGAAATCATACGTGCAGCGACACCAACATGTTGGGCATTGTACAATGCCATTGGCTCATCGACACAACGCCCAGAAAGCATTTGTATTCAGTTTGCTGCTGGTGTCTTTCGGCACTAATGCGCATGTTTGACGAATGCACCATGCCACACTCCATGATAGGACGGACTCTTCAATAAACGAGACTCTGTGTGGCTTGTCATTTGAATGAAGAATTGCTCTGCTCAAGTGGATATTGAAACATTTTATCAATCCTAAAATAGGAGACAGTCCCACCTCATTTTGTATGTCCGTGTTTGCACCATGCTTCAATAACAGTTCCACAGTGCTCGGGTGCCCATTATATATGGCCTCTGACAGGGGTGTGTCGCCATCCTGCATAGCATGTCACACGTCTGAAGACCCATACATGCAGCTTGCACACATGCCAACTAGCTTCTGTCAGCACAAATCGGTAACCCCAATAGGCAGCTTGTCAATGCAGTTTTGCATGTTGCCGCTCCAACTTCAAGCTGCAGGGACATGGAATGGCAAGACCAATGGGTCCTATGCAACGCTAGCTCGCATTTTCAAGCGGAAATCAGCAATCAAAAACGTGGAGGAAAAACTGGCAACATGGACTATGTAGCTGCTTCTGAGCACCTGGGTTCCATAAAGACTTTATTCTTGTGTACGAATCCACAGCCTTCTCCATATCAGATTGACATGACCGGCTGGAGACGCTATAGTAGACTCGATTTCAGGCAAATTATCTAGCCCAGAATATAGAAAATGCCCTAATTGGACAACGTCCAGCAAGAAACCTCCCAGTAGGCCTGATTCGGACACATAATAACCAACCACTTCCTGCCTTGGCATCCAGTTCGACACAGATGTAAGGGGCACAGTTGCTTGGCAGGTGTCAATTGCAAGAGGCGATTCACCACCATGTTGCAAAGTTGGTCATTGCCTTGGTGATGGCAGTGCGACAGTTCGTTGCAGTACAAGATGCCATTGGCAACTTGCCACCTTGGCACAATGCTGTGTTGTGCACACTACCACAGTGGCGCTCCCAAATTCTCGAGGCTGCTAGTATAACACCGTCTTGGGACAAGTCAGGCCACTCCAATCGAACTCCTCACAAGCACAAACACGAGGGTGGCCATGATATGCCACTGCCAACCACCAGAGCCTTCCAGGCCGCTTTTATGCCCCCCGAGCTTGTAAGACCGTAGACCGGTGGTGGGCATAGGCGCCTTAAACGTGAACACGGACGTCTCAATTATGATTGGCTTGCCAAAAACAGAAACGCAAACGTGTGCACAGCATTAGGAATTTCAAAATTGGAAAGTGAACGGTGGGCCCCACATTCGAGTTGTGGAAACTTCAATGCCAACGTCCAACAGATGCTTGTGTTTCCAAAAGACAGGTTCCAATGAAACAAGAATCCAACACGAAACACCCTTTTCCTGGGCCTCCAATTCGCGGACCGGGCCACGGGATTTTTGGGTGTACGCATGAACGTCGGCTTGGCCAAACAGAAGGTTCTTGAGTGGGAGTGCTCACAGAACCGACAAACCAGTCAGAACTGGAAGGACAGCCAACTTAGACAAAGTAACATAACTCAAGAAAATAGCTTTAAAGTACAGCGCGACAGCAAAATGTGTGTATTTGGGAGGCAAACGAAAAGGGAAATGTCCACCATACTTTTGACCTGTGAAAACAGGCACACAAATGCGTGGAGTACGTCTGGTGTTTCGAAACAGGAACATAGACGTGTGATTCGCATCATGTTGACGTTTGGACCTTACCAAAACGTAAACGAGGAAAACACGTTCGTTTGTGCCCACCACAGCCACAGACTCAGGTGAACCGAAATTTGCAAGGAACTGCGCATTGATCTATTTGCACATCAATCACTGTTCCTTGAGGCGAGTTAAGCATGCTGGTTGTGGTTCCTAGCGGCGAATCCCCAAGCGACCACCCCTTCTTTGGTGTTCAAGGAGAGGGGTCAGACTTGCAGGACCTAGAGTTCTGCTACAGGCCGTCGCTCATGAGCTCACTGTGCCCGGCCCAAAGCACCTGTTTCGTACAATGTGTCCGGCAAAAATCTGAAAGTGTAACCTCAATTCAGACATCGCCCAGCAAGGCTCCAAGGGAAAACGCTGGCTGCATCCTGAGTTGGGCATATTGCAGCTACAACAACGTGTTTGGAAAGCTCACCTTGTCAACACTGTCCACGTGTGCACCGCAGCTCAACAACAGCTCGACTGTGGTGTTGTGGCCAAACAGAGATGCCCCTGAAAGGGCCGTACAACCGTGCTGCATATTGCTCATAACAATCAGAACAGGCACAGAATTGCAACATTCAGGCTGTCTGACCTCAGCCAGAGTGTATAACTGCACAAGTTATAGCTGTTGTCTGGACACCTGTACTGCCACATCAATCTTATCGCACATCAAATGATGCCAAACTAGACTTGCTAATTACATCATGTACAACAGCATCGCTATATGCAGTGGCATTTCATAAATGTAGTGCACTCACTGCACTGCACTGACCCTGAGTACATTGTACAGTGCACATTTGCCAGCCCACTCCCATCTCACAAATCACCATCCAACCCCTTTCCACACTGCCAAAGCTGCCCAAACCTTTCTCCATCACATGTCACCCACTCCTTCCACCCGGGCCATTTGAAGTTGCTGTGCGCGAATTGAAGCAGCCAAAGCATGTTCTGGTCTAAGCCCCAAACACTTGGTGTAGTTTGTGAGCACTGTGTAAGGCCAGTTGCCGACTGAACCGTGGGCTTCCAGCCTCCAGCCCCCAGCGTCGCAAGCTGTCCCAGTCACTGCACATCCTTGTGCTTGGCTGTGGGAACGAGCCTAGGCCTGTGACTGCCCTGGACTGACCAGGCCCAGCCCAGATTACTGCTAACACTGCAGCGCAGCGCTGCCACTTCTGTGCAAGCACGTGAGTTGACGTTTGTTGGCCTTACGCGAGGGTTGAGGACGTGCGAGGGCGCCGCTGGCATCAAGGAACAGCAGTGAGCGTGGCAAGGGAGGTCAAGCCCGGGACCGAGGCTGCGCGGACAACCAGGTCTGACATTGCAACGACGCCCACGCGTGCTGTGCGACGGTTTGTGACCTCAAAGCGGGCAGTGGCTGACGCAGAAGCCGAGCTTTGGATAGTGCTGTGTGTGGAAGGGATATCGAGAAGCCAGAGCTGCGTTCTGCTTGCTTCGGAGCATGAGAGATCGTCGCTGGAGGCAGACCAGCGTGGGGTTCAGCCCTGGTCAAGTCAACTCTGTCAAACTGGCGAGTGAAACTGGTCCAGCGACCTGGGCGAACATGGCGTTCGACACGCGACTGTCGTGAGAGGAAATCACTTGAAATGCTTGTTGTGTGAGATTGGCTTCAACGAAGGTGTTGGCATCTCGAGTGAGAAAGGAAAGGTATACTGAGGCCTTTTGCAAAACTGGAGATCACTATCTTCCTAAACGGCATCCTGGTGAACTATGGAGAAGACAACGGGTCTGACAAAGGGTGTGGCAGTGAATCAAAGCCAACTACACTTTTGACAAAAAGGTTGCAGAAAGTATTTAGAGAAATATTCCTATCTTTGTTGTGGTTCAACATCCTTTTGACATACCAGCATTGATTGATCCAATTTAAGTCAGAATAGCCACCAGATTCATGGTTGAAGCAGTGAGCAAGGTCCAGCGAGTTCTGCCATCACTGATGCATGGACACCACGCCCAAATCGCTGGGGTGCTTCACAAGGTAACAACATTGAAGGGGAAGGTGATTGTTCTGTGGAAATCGGAGAGAAAAATATGCAGATGTCGACATTCAGAGAGTGAGCAATATGTGCCTTGAGGCCCTTATGGTTGCTCCCATCGCTGCCAGAGACTCTATACACACCAGAGATTCTTAGGGGTGCATAGGCATAAGGTCATGGTGTCGCCACTAGCACTCTGCATTAGGCAGGCTGCACAGCGTCATTGGGAGCATACCACCTTGGGTCCCTAGATTGGGCATCTGTCCTAGGAAACTGGCGTGTGGCCGTGATTCACCACATTTGGCCAGCTGTATCATCCAGTAGCCACAATGATGAGGGCCGTTCAGGATTTCGATATGGGAATTTGTACCAATGCATAAATAGCTTTCCCAACGGAGTATTGTCGATATTGGACATTTTTCTGAAACTCGGACTGGCCAATCTGCACGTCGGCAAAAGTCCCGTATTCTGGATATGAATGGGATACAGGCGAAACACCATGCCTTGGTGGATATCAATTATGATATGGGTGCCATGTACTGGAACAGCATATCCAGGAAAATTTCATCTGGGATACAAACAACTCCATATCACGAATATGGGAGCCCATATACTGTGATATGGTCAGAATACGGGCAAGGATGTGGCCATACGCCGGGATACGGGCGCCAATACTGTGAAATATGAAAATATCCAGGATACCCCAATTTTGCCAACTGAAACCTGCTGCACTGAAAGCTGCTGCAGAGAAGGCTCTTGGAAACAAATAAATTGGCAATGCGTCCATCCAGACGTAACTGAGCATTGGACGTGTGTCCGGCCGCTGACGCCCCATGCAGGGGCGTCCCGCCAGACTGAAAGGCGAGTACACAATTTCAAGCAGTGAGAAAAATGACCTCAAACACTTGGGTCTGCGTCGTGCAACAGTGAGCACAGCCGGCAGGATGGTCGAACACAGCATACGGTGCCAATAATCAAGTACACGCACAGGGTCCTGTCAGCAACTCAGCACGAAGCAACCCATTCCGTAGCTGGACGCCCGCTGTTGCAAACAATCCACGAGCTGAGCTGCTTGAGACGTTACTGCCCCCCACAAAGCTGCTTGAGATCACTCGGCAGAAAAGGTTGCTTTACAAAACATAGCCGTGCAGTGACCCACCTGGTCAGACGCAGCCACAGATGCGCCTCTGTCCAGCAGCAAGTGCACAGTGGACGTGTGTCCGCCCACTGACGCCCCATGCAGGGGCGTCCCGCCAGACTGAAAGGCGAGTACACAATTTCAAGCAGTGAGAAAAATGACCTCAAACACTTGGGTCTGCGTCGTGCAAACATTGAGCACAGCCGGCAGGATGGTCGAACACAGCATAAGGTGCCGATAATCAAGTATACGCACAGGGTGCTGTCAGCAACTCAGCAAGAAGCACCCCATTCCGTAGCTGGACGCCCGCTGTTGCAAAAAATCCACGAGCTGAGCTGCTTGATACGTTACTGCCACCCACAAAGCAGTTTGAAATCACTTGGCAAGAAAGGTTACTTTACAAAACATAGCCGTGCAGTGACCCACCTGGCCAACCGCAGCCACAGATGCGCCTCTGTCCAGCAGCAAATGCACAGTGGACGT